GCTGAAACGGAGCAGGCGGGGGCCAGCGGTCCGAGACCCGAAAAGAGCAGGGTCGGCCTGCGTACGGGGGGGCGGGGGGGGCCCCTACCCACAACCAAGGAGAGGGCCCAGTTCAAGGAGCACCCGAAGGACCAGGCTGGGGACAGACTCTGCACTGTGGGGGGCTGGACTAGATGCCCTCAAACTTCCCCCTCCACTCACGACGGCCTTTGGCTCCGTGGTTTCATGGAAGGCATCGGCTGCGGGAGGGCTGCCCTACACCGGTTATGCCAGGCGGTGGCAGCAGTGGCACTCTCATCGACTGCACAGCTGCATCTTTCTAGGAGAAGGTGGGGAAGCTGCAGCTGTCCCCACAAGAGGGGCTCTGTTGCAATGCCCAGGTGCCCTTGTGGGCGTGGGAGAGCCGCCCGTCTCCTCTGGGGGAGGATTCGCGTGAGCCGCCCCGAAAGTGCTCTGACCCTGGATGCTGGGGAGAATTGTGGAGTTGAAGTCCAAACATCTTAAAGTCACCACGCTTGAAAAGCACTGTCTTAGAGCATGGTAAGAGTGCCCATTTCATAAAAAGCCCTCACAAGAATGACAGCTTCCACGGGGCAGTGCCATGCACTTGTTGGCACTACAGGGATCCAGTTCGAGACGGATCCTTTCTTTGGGTGCCAGGACAGGGTCAGCAGCAGCACCCCTCAGATCCTAAACCAGGGATCGCTCTGTGGATTCCATCCTTAACGAGAGAAATGGGATTCAAGAAAAGTCGTTCCTTAGAACTGGGCATAGGAAACGGAGGGAGGGAGGGACCTTCCTTGCTCCCAAACCACCCCAGCAGGCGCCCCTTTGAAAATCCCCAGCGAGGCTGGATCCTCCGCTGCTCTAGGCAAAGTCCCCCAGCTCAGCAGCCTGAATCAGTCATTTCAGCTGGGGGGTTGTCTTGTCTGGGGTTCGAGACATTTGGGAGGAAGAGAGGAGGGAAGTGAGGGTGCTGCCTGCGCTGGGGAAACGCTTCCCACCCCACCTCCCCCAAGGCTGGGCTCAGCTCCTCTCCCCCCCCCCCCAAATAAAAGCATACAAGTTTACAGCCTCAGAAAGCTGAGCGGAGGTGGGCTCATCCCCCCACCCCACAAACACCTAGCACAGACTCACAGGCATCCACGCCAGCGGCTGCATCCAGCTCTCTGGCTAACTGAGCTGCACCCTGGCCCTTTCAGGAAGGGGCCAAAGTCCAAAGGCGGCCTCCCCCCACCCAGGCCCTCAGCCTACGAGAGGGAGGGCTAGCATAGAGTTCAGGGGGAGGGTCCAGGAGAAACGGAGAAGGGGAGAAGGCATCTAGTGACGTCTGGGCGTTTACAGCCATTGCAGGCCAGCAAGAGGGCTGTCAGTCAGCGGCCGGTCTCGGTTTGGGCACGATCCCTGCCCAGAGCTCGTCTGGGGTGCTCAGGAGCAGAGCTTGGCACCTGGCCTGGCCTGGCCTGGAGCTCAGCTGCAGCCGGAAGAGGAGCAACGCGCAGAGGCAGCGCCTCATCCCAGCCAGTGCAAGAACGGTGGAGGGAGGCAACGGCTGGGTGCCACTTTAGGAACTTTAAGACTTTAATTTTATTCTTTATTTAATTTATTTATTAAATTTCTCTCTGCCCATCTCCCCCCAGTGGGGGACTCTGGGCGGCTCACACAAAGCATTAAAACAATGAATATATATAAATACATAAAACATACAAAATTTATACAGAACGTTACCAAAAAAGAAGGAGGAAGTCCAAGAAGATGATGGATCTGGGGCTGAAGACTTGTACTTCTTGTAAGGACTCAGCACCAAAGACCTTTTTACATGGCTACAACTTGCAATGCCGAGGAGGAGGGTGGAGTTAACCCAGAGCAACACCCTACTTGTGGAGTGCTTGGGGCTCTCTGGGCTCGGTTGTTTCAGAGAACAAACATGAAACTTGAAACTTGGTTGTTTCAGAGAACAGAGCTCAGAGAACCCCAAAGACTCCGCGGTTCAACCCTGAGCTACACATATTCTCTTCCACTGGTAACGCCCTATTTATTGATTGTTGGGGAAGGTGTGCTGTGGTGTGTCCGGTCCTTGGAGAACAAAGACCCTCACAATATTTCCAGGTCTTCTCTTTTGCAAATTGAAGTGCCCAACTCCTTTAACCATTCCTGACTGGGCGGGTTTCCCAGACCCTGATCCTCCAGGGAGATCCTGTGCTTCTGCTCCTGCGTCTCCTTGTCCCTGTTAAGTTGCAATGCCCAGAACTAGACACGGGGCTCCCAGGCTAGCCGAGCTCTGCACAGCCCAGTGGAACGTGGCCATGATCCGGGTTCAGGGCCTCTATTCATCCACACCAAACCTGCACTGGCCTTTTTGCCTTCTGCGTTGCACGGCTGGCGATCCACTGGGTCCCCTAGACTCTTCTCACGTGTGTTGCAGCCAAGCCTGGGGTCTCCAGCCTGCTACCTACGCGTTGGACGGTACCTATCCAGGTGCAGGATAGCTCTATCTTTATCCTCGTGACCGGCGAACACCCTCCGCTCGGTCACGACTTTGTCTTGAGAGAGGTTGGCTGATCCCTCTTGCTCGGTGTCATCTACAGATCTGAAAACATGCCTTTGGTTCCATCGCCCGCATTTTGAAAGAGGTCGGATAGGGCTGGCCTAAGCCTAAAACCTGGATGACAAAGCCCAGTTGCTCCCCACACAGACCAGGTGGTGCCCAAACCAATGAGCCATGCTGTTGTGCCTTTGCGCGCCGGCCCAGTTCCCCAGCAATGGCTGGTTCCCACAGCCCACAGAACATACTTGCTCCCCCCAGCTTTGCCTCAGCTAAAATATGGTGAAAATCCACCCCTCCAGAGAGCATTTTGCATGATTGCAAAACGACGCTTGAGCTGTGCTGGGAAGAAAGGGTTCCATAGGCTTCATCGTTTTTGCAGAACATAACCCTGTGTTGCCCTCGCTGTGGCTCCTTTATAACCTTCACCAGCAGCCCCTCTCCCTTCCCTCTCAGTTGAGCTTCCTTGTTTATTGCAAGCTGGGGTCCCAGGGAAAAGGCGTGTGGCTTAGCACACACACACCCCTCTTTGGGGTTCCTGTTTCTTTCGGAGGAAGGTTAACTTTGGAGTCAGCGCACTGCCTTCCAGGTCAGAGGTGGGCACTGGTCCACGATCAGTGAACAACTTGCACCCACAATCGCAACACAAAGGATCAGTCTGCCTTCATTCCCGGGCATGTCACGCCCAGATCATCACAGGCTCCATGGCCAACTTGGATGCAGAAAAGGGGTTCCCACTCAGAGGAGGGCCCGTCCTTCCACAGAGCAGTTATCGACACAAATAATTCTTTTTCACTACGTTAGCAGAAGAAAAGCAACATATATCTAATGGGATCACAAGGAATTAGGTGAGAGCAGAAAATGAGCAGAGGTGCAATGCCCGAGTTGAGCCAGGGCCTTGAACCTGGGCACTGCTTCCTGCACGGAGAAATCCTTTTGCCTCAAGGCCAAGGCTCAGAGGTCACTGAAGACCAGCCTGGGACTTTTGTGGCTCTCGGGTCTGGAGGGGAGAAAGTTTGAGTGTGCTGCTGATAAATGGGCT